ATCTCCCCAAAACCCCAAAACCCCAAAACCCCACTTCTTATTTAAAATAATGCTAGTTGTATAATTTAAGTTTTAGCAAATAAATGAAGGATAAATACATCCTGAATGGTACAACTCAGTTGACACCCTTCCTCTATCCTCCTAAAGAGGAGCACAATAATGACTTTAGAGGGATGCAAAGAAAGAGACCTAATCAAAGAACCTCCTTTTCACCTGATTCTTATGATTCCAAAGCCTTTAATACTTATATTATTACTCAAAGAAAGGAGAATCTCGCTCAGATCCAGCAGTCTAAATATCAAAAGAAAGCTCGTGCTTTCTATAAACATTCGAAGATTAACTCTAATGTAACTTCTCCTTCGAGTTGTTTCAAAGAAGTCTATCAAGGCATGAAACCTAATTATCAAAGAGCTAAGACGAAGTACAAAAAGAGACAGCCTAAATACAAGAAATTAAGCTTTGGAACTCACTTTGAGGGAGTTACAAGCACTCAATTATCTCTAATGAATATTTGTAGGAAAGAGGATATCTCAAATACTCACGCATACGAAGACTTTTCAGATACTTCAGGAAGTCCTGTGCAAAAACCTGACAAATAAAGCGTTTTCTTTCAAAATTTCCCCTGTGGATAACATTTTTAAACAAAAATTACCTTCTAAGAAGACTATTTTAAAGCCCAAGAGCTTCAATGGTAATCCTAGATACAAGAAATCAATGCTACGGGCACTCAAACAGAGAAGAAAGATTGGAAATCTTTTACAGGACAAGCTAGTTTCTCCTCTAAAGTAAGCATCTAGATAGTTAGAAACCCAGTAAAGCGGCTTAGCTTTGAGTTTAGATAGTATGATAATACAATTTTGTTGTCCTGTTTTACCCCTAAAAATCAGAGGGCTTCCTTCTTGGAGGGCATCTGGAGGTTTCCTGTATTTTCAGATGAAAATACTGAAGAAATATTGGACTAATTCCGAATTTGTTCTATAAGTCGTCCTTAAGTGGTAGAAGTTTTAATGAAATATACGTGAGGACCAGTGGCTTAAGACTGATGCTTAGGGTGGAATTTGTTAAGGAAAATACATCCAAAGAGCAAATTTGGAGAGAAATCGGTCCCTGGAGTCTAAATGTGGGACTTTTGGGCATAATTTTGGAGTTTTAGCTAAAAGTTGGTTTACTGTTGGAGTAATTTTTAAAAGTTTTATTAGTGTTAATATTTTTATTTAGCATAACAGAAAAGACCACTGATTATAGAAGAAAGATGAGCAATAGGCATGTATATGTGTCATGACAACACAAGGATTGTGGTAGGAATGGGATTAATATCAGCATTGAAGAATTCATTAAAGAATCTAAGAGAAAAGATCGAAGAGAAATTTTAGAGAAGAAGAAATTGAAACCCCCAGAAGATAGAGTTAGATACTCAAGTCTTGACTTCAAAAAGGAAACAAGAAATAAGTTCTTTGAGCCTATTGTTGACTCCTTCAAGAGAGAGAGCATGTCAACTATATTTGTGAATCCTAACTTAAATGCCTCTCAGAGAGTTTCCATTTAAGGCTAGTTTTTATAACGCTTAATTTTCGAACTTTAAAAAGACTACCAATAAAAATTACTTGTTTGTTTACTTCTTCTCCTAGTTCAAATTTTTATTCTTATACTTGATTTTATTCAAATATTTGTACTATTGAGGGAAAATGATTACCAGAAATAAGCTCCAAAATTTCTTTGTTAATTATAAATAAATAACTGAAAATCTTTAATGCTAAATTTAGGAAAACTCCCCTAAAAGCCTGAATTAAATCCCATTAAAATCCTCTTTAATTTTCATTGCCTTTTATCACAATTTTCACTAAATTGTAAAAACTATGAATTTTACATCTACTGAGTTACCGTCGCTTCTTCTACTGGGTTTTTACTGTCATCCCTTATTTCTCATATGGGGTTTTGGGGTTTTGGGGTTTTGGGGTTTTGGGG